TCTAAGACGTAAGAAATCCGTAGTCAACCCATCATTGCCACCTCCACCACCGCCGCCTTCATTACTTCCCCTCATTGCCATCCCTTTGGCATTACATGGTCTAATTTATTTTTCTTATCACCCAAGTAGAGAGAGAGAGAGAGAGAGAGAGAGAGAGAGAGAGAGAGAGAGATAGCTTAATCCTCCAAGATGACCATAAGGAACGAAAGAGCAACAAAAAACACAACAAAAGATAATGACCTTCGATAAACCCCTCCCACTTCCAACTTAGTTACTCCCACTCTTCCTAGCAGGATTAGCAACCATCCTTGGCTTCTTCTTCTTTTTTTTTTTTTTTTTCTTCAATAGAAGGTAAGTAACAATGATAAACACAAGCAATGATAAACACAAGCAAATTAATAAACAAAATATAAAAAATCATCTGGATTGAAATAGAGTGATGATAGGATTACCTCCAACATTCATGTCAAATAACACATCTGACCGCATATCGAACTAGCAAATACACACATCTTGATTTTCCATTAAATAATTAAAAAAATATCAAAATTACTTGATTCGAGAAAAACCTATTTTCATTCAAAACCCTCAAACTTCAAAGACACTAAATTATTAATTTACTTCTTATTTTTCTTTTTCTTTTCTTCCCCCCCCCTCCCCCTCCCCCCTTCTTTGTTGTTTATTGCTTTTTCTACAAGAGCATGAAGATACATGAAACAGAAAAATGCCTTTAAAAAATTATTGTTCTTCTATTTTTGGGGTCTTTGATTTATTGATTCATTCCAAACTAGAGTTTATATGGGTTTATGTGTGGTATGTATGGTCATGCTACTACACCCCTTTTGAGATGTGTACCATATGCAAATTATAACATTTGGCCTAATTTCCAAAGGATTTACACTCTAACATGTATCCTAATTAATATGCTATATACTTATTAGAGTTCTATAAACCCTCATGTGTAATTGTAATTATTTTACATTTTTTCATCACTAATGATGCCCTTTCATATATGCTATTTTCCCACCACCTCATTAACTCTTTTACAAATAACAACTTCATTTTGGAATTTTTAAAGTTTTGACATGTTGGTTTATGTCTTTTAATTTTTTCCCCTCTCCCTTAGTTTTGTGTTTTGGTTGAACTGCTTCATTCCTTATTTTTGGCAGGTAAAAGGAGAGGCCAATACCTCTTACATCTGTGCTTATATTTCGATCGACGGAGTACACTATAGCAATTGACTTCTGGTTTGCTGGTTGTGTTGTTGCTGAAATACTTCTTTGACAGGTACATATTTTTTCCTACAAGGTCCTCTATGCTTCAATATATTTAAATTATATGGTATGCGTGATGGCCAAATTAAAAAGCAAAATATTTATGATATAACTTGTACAGTCACACCCTCATTCATCACAGTTTTTGTATTAAAAAAAACTAAGACTAAAAGTATAAGGTCAAAGTTAAAAATTGTGACCTTTAACCAATTTTGTAGTAGTGCTCATATATTAGTATTATTTATTATGAATCTAAAGTATCAATGACAGAATAAATATAAATAATAAAATCAAATAATAAGCATAGCATTAATACAAGAGAAGCTCTATTCACAACCCAAGATTCAATTGTGAGTGGCAGTGGGTATAGTAGTATGCAAGGGTCCTTAGTGCATCAAATCTTTAGTTAGTGTATGTATATTACTGAATACAACTGTATCAAATCATTCTCCCATTTTCTAATTTCTTGTATTTTGTATTCTAAAAAACAAATTGCTTTCCTAAACATTTATAATTTTCAAGTGCTTTATGTGGTTCAAGCCATCCCCAAACCCATGCAGAGAATAAAAAAAAAAAAATTAGAAAGATAAAATATGGGAAAGTGAACCACAACATAGCTAAAACCAAAGCAAGTAAAACCAGTTAATAAAGATATTCAACCTTCTGACTGTATACCTAAAGTGAGACTTGAAGGAGCAAAGGAGCTATACATAACCATGACATCGTTTTTTATTTTTTTTCTACAATAGTCCCAAAAATAAAATAAAAAACAATGTCGTTTTTATTATCAATTCGTATGGTGCCAAAATATTTGGCTCCTTTTTGCGACAAAAAAATTTCCTTACCAAATTACAAATTTTGTCCAAAAAAATTAACTTCTTTAATCTATTTTTTATGGTAATGTGACCTAAGCTACTGGGGTATCATTTTTTGTTTATGATTAGAATTTTTTTTAGTGTCTTTCCTTTTTACATTGGAAACATAGTCTTTGTTAACTACATTATTATAAAACAAATCCATTCATGTGTGCATGTCGTGCATTTGATGAATGTACTATAACCTTTAAGATTTTTGTTTGTTTGTTTTTTTTCCTAATCAAAGATATTATGAGTTTATTTTTCTTGTCTTTCTTTACAAGGAATTCTGATTGAAGCCTAATGGATAAGCCGACTGATCCTCCAAAGCGCCCGATCACTCCATTCATTTTCTTTTGGTATTTCGTTAATATCTATTTGTATGTAGTTATATATTTTCCATTATACGAATTCTTATATTCATTTTCATATGTTTATAGCCAAGAACAATCAATGGAGTTAAAAAAAAACCCAAATGAAAGTAGACGTGAAGGTAAGTGCAACGTATTCTTGTTGTTTGTAGTATTCCTTTTGTACTTGTAAGCTTGTATGTAATTGTTCATATGATTTTATGCATGTAATGTAGGATATTGGGGACAAATGGAATCAACTTCTTGAAGAAGAAAAAAATGAGTATATACAAATGGGAAAGCTGCAATCTGAACAATATGCCCAATTAAAAACTGTGGTCCAACAAAAGCCTCCAAAAGTAAAAATTCAAACCCGAATTGAGCTTACATCAATTTGTAAGATTATTAGAAGGTTGGACAAAGCACAACAACAAGCAGTGAGTGATATGGGTTTCATGGCATCCTAAGCCTTAGGTGCACGCACATAGATCATGACTTGTGTCATTGGTTAGTTCAGAACTTTGATCCTTCAACTCATTCATTGAATGTCCACGGTCTTCGAATGCTTCTCACCGTAGAAGATGTTCATGAGTTGATGGGATTACCTTCCAATGGTCTACCTGTGAAGTTAACAGAGTCCGTAGATGAAATTACAAACCTATGTGATGAACTTTCGGTGAAGAATAAATTTGTTCCGTTCACATCTTTGAAATCTTATCTGCTTGAAACAAAAGATGCTGGAACTGAATTTAAAAGGAAATTTGTCTTATACATCATTGGAGCCCTCTTGTGCCCCACCACAAAGGCAGGCGTACACCAATCATTCATTAAAATGGTTAAAAATGTTGAGTCCATCAGTCAATTCAATTGGGCAAAGCACACCCTTGATTTTCTTGTCGACCGCATTGCTATTGCCAAGGTCAAAGAGCGGTCTGCTATGTGCGGCTGTTTGCTTCTTCTAATGGTACTTCCCCTTGATGTGTAATTATTTCATCTATTATTTTTTATTGTATATTGTCTAACACACATTAAAATGACTTCTTTTTTTGATTTTTTTTCCCATGTAGTTATTTTACTTGGAACAATTTGCTCGCAAAAGGGAGTTGGTGGCTACTTCCAACTCCATTCCTCGCTTATCCTATTGGGGCAATTCAGAAATTAAGCAGGGTTTGAATCAAATTAAAGCTTTGGGAGGATATTTAAATGTTGAGGTAAATATTTACAACACATGACTTTTTATAATTATAGCTCAATTTACATTACACCTGTGGCATTAACAAGTTATTGTATATCTGTGAATAGGTGGCTTTGCCTAACATTGGTGATAAATCCAATGCAGTAACTCTTAGCCAGGGAAGAATTGACAAGAATGATGACTCCCGATTGGCTAAAGTTGAGAAACAAGTCATTGAAATTCATGCCCTTTTGGTCCAAGGCCACAAGGACACAAGGCAAGATGAGGATGAGAAACGTCGAACCAAAGTGGAGAATCAAGTTGAAAAAAATCTTGAGTTGTTAGAAAAACACATGCTAGTTGATGGAGAACAAGTTAAAACACCACCAACCAAACTACTTGCGGAGCAACGACTGGTCAAAATGGAGAACCAAGTTGGTCAAATTCTTGAGTTGTTAGAACGACGCATTCCAGTTGATGGTGGAAATGTTAAAACACCACCAAGCAAACTACATGAGGAGCATCGAATTGACATTGAAATGGCTGGTCTCGATCATAGTGGTATCGAAAAGGTTGCAGCCAATTCCTCAAAGTTTGTAGATGAGGATGAGATAAGGAATATGAATGACAAAAAACCAATGGAAACTTTGCATTTGAGAAAAACAAAACCAATCCTCACACCACCAAATGCAAAGGCAGTTGCAAAGAAACGAGCCAAATTGGTTGGTGGGAAAACATTAAATAATGAACAACTTTCTATTCCACAAAAGGGGAGATTGCGCGCAAAAAAGAGTGATACAAAGGCAGTCAAAATGAATGCTGTAACAATGTCATCATCATGTAGTGTTGTTCGTGGTCCTCAGACTCGAGGGACCCAGAATTGCAAAGCCAGTCAGTGGTTGCGTACACCTTTTGTGAAATTTGATGTAAAGAAGAAAAGACCACAGTTAAAGCCATCGTCAACTGACAACAACGTTGACAATAATATTCATGACAATCTCAATGAAGTAAACTAAATGATTGTGTCTCAAAACATATTTGATATATGTGTAACAAATAGTGTTTGTTTCTTACTTTTCTTTTACTTGTATCAGCTATTTGATAATTTACTTGATCAACTTGGGGGTAATGTTGTTCCTGAAATCCCAAAGGTTTGGAACTAACTATTATAGTATCTTTTGTATATGTGGTTATTTTGCGCTAACATACACTAACCATCTTCATGAACATACACTAACCAAGCTTGATTTGTTTTATGGACTATTCTTCTCAATACCTTTACAAGTCATCCGTGCCTTTGCCAGACCCATTAAATAACTATGACAGTCTCGTTCTATGATATGCATTTGATGAATCTCTTTCAGAAGGGTACAATTTGACTACCTTTAACTTGTTATGTATGAAGTACTATACCTTCTAACTCACATAGTTATCCATGTGCTAGGGAATATCTTGTACGGATGAAACTGCACTACGTGGAAGCACAATCTGCCACGCGGAAGGAATTGTGGTCCTTGAAACCATATCAGTGGATATCCTCGTGTGTAAGACTTTTCTCCTTCTCCTATTTTATTTGCTACCATTCCATCATCCAAGTTACTTTACTTTGCCTATTCATAAATTTCATATATTTTGCACTGCAGATTATAAATCTCATTGTTGTGAAATTGACAAATAAACAAAGGAAAAAGTTTCCAAATAAGGATCACAAGGTTTGGTACTTTCCGACCCATGTATCGGTAAGTATTAGACATACCTAAAGACTTTTTTTATTTAGGCACAAGTTATTTATATGTTAAAATTGAATATGTAGCAAAAGATTTTGTGTCAACCTTCTGATGACACAATGAAAGATATAGTAGAAGATTATTTTGGAATTTACAGATACACTGGCCCCCTTCACGCTTGTGAGGAGGTAACATGATAAAATACTACTATTACCCAATTTCCAAATTTACCATGCACAATAACATTTGATCCATGTTATGTATTTATTTATTTTTTGCATGTACATTCGACGTTATATTTTTAGATTTACATGCCCTTCAACCATAGGGAAAACCACTGGTTGTGCTTGAATGTAAACATGGAAAAACGGGTTGCCTATCTATTCGACTCCAGCAGATGTATTGACACCGATGAGGATCGAAAAAATCAAGCTACATTATTGGTAATAGAATAACCATTATGATACCCCACTTGTATCCACTTTTTTGTTTCGTGATCATGTACCTTACTACCTACCACCAACAGGTACAATCATTGCATAAGCTGCTTCAATATGCGCATGGAGAAGATTACGTTCAAGATGTTAGTTCGTTTGCATTTCAATGGTTGGAAGACATGCCACGCCAAGACAACAAGTAATACACTACATTATCGTTCTTGATTTTTAAATAAGCATTAATGTTATAATCTCTAAGTTCGTTGACTCTATTGTTACAACTACACTCATTCCTATAGCTATGATTGTGGTCTTTTCGTCATCAAATATATGCAAGGGAAACCTTTGCCTTCGGGTGTAATCAAGGTACTTACATTTATACCCAACTGTCCACTTATCAGTATCTTATGTTTTATGAAGACTAATTTTATAATGTGTGATGTTTTTACGTACTCACTACTTTTGACATGTAGTTTGACTATTTGCATAGGGCTCGCTTGTTACTTGATCTTGTGATATACAAGCATAATTCAGCTCCTATTGTTGGTGATATCGCGCAATATAAAGCTTGTGATGCTCTATTCTTTTTTATTTTTCAAAAGTTCGTACAATCAATGACGTTATCGCATTTCTTAAACTCGTGAACTTTGAGTTTATAACTCAACCTTTGTTATAAAATTATATTCTCAAGTGTGCTACCTTGTGCAAAACTCAAAGCTAGGGGTGAATTGAAATGGAAGTAGAGGCTATACGACTTTTGTGATCCTGAAAGAAGGAAAGATAGTGGATAAGGTTGTGGGAGCAAACAAAGACGACTTTGATTTTAATTGATGTATTTAAAATTTGAACATGAATTGTTTCTATTCTTGGGTATGCAATGCATTGTTTTTTTTAATTTTTAATTTGAACATGAATTTTGCTTTCAAGCTTTAGTTTATTTATTAATTTAATATACATCAATTATTAGTTCTTAATAATCGTTTATGACAGGTATAAATATCTATCGCTATATTTAAATGTCAAGCTTAGCACAATTAAAAAGAAAAGAAAAGGCTATGGCAACGTTTTTTAAACGTCCCTATATCCCAGCCCCAACGGTTGGATTTTTAAAATGTATAAATATCTATGACGGCGTTTCAAAAGCGTCGCTAAATATCATAGTGACGTCATAGTACCGTTAGGGTAGGACATTGGGCGGCGTTTATTTTTCATGATTTCAAAAATAAAACTAATCATTTTTACTATTATGCAAAAACAATTTTGAAAATTTCAAAGAACAACATTAAAGTTTCTTATAAAAAGTATACTTCAAAAAAAAATAAATGTTGTCCGTTTTTTTTTTCTTTCTATTTTCGAGAATACAAAACATTAAAATAAAACAATACCAAA